GTCTTCTTATGGTACATGTTAGTCAAATCTTGAATTTATTTTCTGTAAGTACTTACTTTGTTTTTGAAGATTAAATTCAAATTGTTTGTCACATTTATATTAAGTATAGAAAACATAGATAAACATGTATAGTAATCTTAATAAAAATAAAAAGGTTTCTAACAGTAAATTTACTTTGTAAGTTTGTTCCTGCTAAAGAAAGTTTTACAAGTAGAATATAACTTTCTTTAAGTACTGATCCAGTATGGACACTGCAGGAAATAAATGATAAAAACACATCCTGTACATAGATCTTATGATTTCTGCGTCTGCCGAAAATTACACTTTGAATTCACAACAAGAACCAACACACTACTTCTGAGACTTTGCACACCTGTCTGACATTATTCCGTCTGCAAACGTGTGCATCTACAGAGTGATGGGCGCTGGCAGAGCTGATGAGTCTTTACATGACTGATGGGAAACAATGCAATCAGTTGTACTTTATCACTCATCCTTATGGGCTGCTGCGTCACTGTATGACATCCCTCAACCCTTATACACTTTCTGCAATTTTGACATTCTTTTGATCTCATAAGCACACTCTCACACTGTTGTGATAGTGGGGGATTTATTTTTGTTGAATATAAATACATTTTTTAGCAGCCTGTGCTTGTTACCCAATAACAAAAACTCCAGGGATGAGTTTATTTTATTCATGCAGTCAGAGCGAAATTGAAAACTCAATTAAATGCTTATACTGGAGATGTTCTGCGTATTTAAAGGCGAGTCTCAGTACCATGTTATGAAACTGAATAGGTTTTCTTCCCCCTACAAAACCACATCACCCATCCATCCACATGTCTAACACTCTGTCCACTCCACCGGCTTTCTCCAAACCCATTTCCCTCATTGCCTCCACAGGGCCGTGTGTGATTGATGGGCCTAGGGACACCCTCACGCTGCAGTGTACCTAATCGCAAAGTATAGACTCGCCGTAACGCTCCATTAAGGGCCTGCAGCAGCAGGGTGTAATGGTTAGGGAAATAAGCCAGGGAAGGGAAGGTCACCGGTTAAAATTCCCATGGGGTTCACCGCTGCCTTGTCTCAGCTACATGTCCAATTGTGAAAATGAATTGTGACAGTTTGCAAGCTAATACAAGAGTACAAATACGAATATACTCATCTTCATTGGACAAACACTGTTATAAGTGTGAAGTCAAATGTGAAAATCTGCCTCGCCACAGTACTAAAGACAGTCAAAGTCAAATCTGCTATTGACACAATCTGGTAATGAGCTTGTCAGTCATCACAATAGTCTCTGTTTACTTCCAGGATGAGAAACTGTAGGAGTCTAAGAGTGTCATTGACAGGTTTGCTGCTCTTCAATAATAACGTTCTCTGTACGGCTATGCCACAACCATCAGAGAAATACTGGCAGAAGGCAGGATTCTAACTTCCTGTCAGGAGGATGAGCTCCAGAGATAGGCATATAACCACACAAGTCACTTTAGGGGCAACAAATTGGATTGCTTGTTGGCCCTGTGACTGATGAGTTAATTAAAGTGGAAGGGTATGGAGAAAGAAGCCAGACATTGCTCCATTTATTTATCCTTTATTGACTATATCTCCTCCCACTTCACTGGCTTGAGTAATCACCACCTTCCTACTCAAGAAAACAAAGTAAGAGGGAGGAAATGGACGTTTTTAAATTTCCAATTCAGATTTAAAAGATCATCAGGAGAACTGATTAAAACTACATTTATGTATGTGATTTAGATGAATCTGAATCAGCTTTAACACTAAGTGGGGAATATTATGACTTCTAACTGTTAATATTGTATATCTCAAGGCGGACGTGCTAAAAAGACAACAAGTAATAATGTACCACAAGAGGACGGAAATGAAATTCATTATTAGCATGTTTTTCTCTCTCAGTGACTTCAGAACAATCATGCTTTTCTTCCAAAAAGTCTGCAGGAAACTGTTGTGCAACTGTACCACTGAGAAATAGAGAACATTTTGTGTCCACAGACTTCTGGTGAAAACTTCAAACCATTGGGATCAAATTAAATACAATGAATCAAACCCAAGTTTGGATCAGTTACCCCAAAAGCCTGACAATAGAGGTCATCAATAGTAGTAATTAGCTCAATTTGAGTGCAGGGGCCTAGAACAAATAAAGCAAACAACTGTCTTTCCCAAGGACTGATGATGAGAGCCTTAAATGAGCGCCCTGGCTTCATGTTCTGTGCTAGGTGGGAAGGAAGGTAATTCGAGCCCAGGTTTATGACAGGTGCTGGAGGGGAAACTGGGGGAGGTTTAGAACACCGCAAAATGCGGTGAGGCCACACGGCGAGCGTGCCGAGACGGATTAGGGCTTAGTTTGGGAGTGGGATGTGTGTAGTGGGTGTTGTGCTGGGGACCCAGGTGGTGCCTGAGGAGAGTACAGCACGTCTGCATGCCTTTTCTCTCTACTAGCCACAGCTTATGTGCTGCCTGGCAAGAGGAACACAGTGAACCCAGAGCCGAGAACAATTAGACACTGTTCAGCTGAGGCTGGATTTGCATGAGCAACAGCACCCGCTCGGCTCTGTCCGTACAGTGATAGAAAAGGCAGTTTGACAAAGAATCACTGGAGAATCACGAATACATGGACATATATTGATTTGATTGTATGTGAATTTGAGACACTTGTGTTTTTCCTTGTTTTGCACTTTAACCAGTGGCTTTTCTTCTTTTGCTAAGTGATTCAGACAATTTGGGGAATTGACTGATTCTGGACTACTCTAGGTCCAGGATTTAGTTTTTTAACAGTTAGGATTACGTCTAGTTTTTAAGTTAGGTACACAATATTGAGGGTTAGGCTAAGAAATAAGAAATGCATTTATTATCCTCTCCTCGTCTTTCTCATGATTTCTCATTCACACACACACACACACACACACACACACACACACACGTATTTGCATATTTGACAACCATATCCAGTTAATGTAATGTGGGAGTCAAGTGTTGCTGATTTGTTAAAAGGTTGCCAGTGCTGGCCAGCTTTAACAAACTGCTCTGACCTGACCTCAAGCCCAAACATTGCATTTGATCTGAATTTGAAGAATTAGAGATGGACAAATCTTTCCTGTTGAACGGTGTTTCTCCTTAGCTAAATATTGACCGAGCATTAAAGCGATTTCATTGTTGCAGAGCTCAAAGAGACTCTGCTTCTGTAAAAGTAGAGGAGATTAAATTTGCTGGAATGCGTGCATCTCTCTGAATTCAAAACACCTTTTTAAAATGCTCTGTGTGGTTCTATAGAAAAATACAAAGTAAAGCCCACCTGAATGCCTACCAGGTATAGGATAACAAGAACTAGGATAGAGTGGACTTTGAATATAATAATAATATATGTCAGTCTTTTCTCCGAGTGGTAGGTGAACAATTGTTCATATAAGAAAATATTCCCAGGTGTCCACTCTGTCCAGCAGCACTGTTTGTGCCACTGTCATACCAACAGGAAAAACAAAGCCGACCTTTTGTGATGGTTTCGTGTTCTCTGTAAATGACCAGAATTGTTTATGTGATTGCATTAACAAAAGAATAATAATAATATAATCTAGGCCACGTTTTAAAAGTACTGACGAAGATTTGGATTTCAGTTATAATCTACATCAATAGTGCCTTGTGCATTTAAAGAGCATTTTCAGGCACAGGTAACTGCAAACCAAAAAGCCTCTCTAACGTTTTACACAGTCTAATCTACATATTTACTACTCAAAAGTGTAGTGTAAAATATCAATATGGACGAGTGATGTGAGGTGAAGTATGCTAGAATGCATTTATAAATACCTTATTCCATATCTAGTTTCAGAAAAATGTAGGCTTGTAAGGACAATGTTGTAAGCTACATTATATCAATGTATGAATCTCTGTTTTGAGTACTGCTGCCAATTTTAAGATGTAATTTAGTCCATGTAAGCAGCTACTGGTGAAGCATTTCTCTTAACTTTTTATTCCTTTTTCTGCGAGTTCAGCAGACTCTAACAGTCTGGTAAACAAGTTGGGGAACTTTTCTTACAGAAGCCAGTAATGAAACATTTTCAAACTCCACTCACTGAGAAAATCAAACCTATTTCTACATACAGCTGCTTGAAAAATATAGATTAAATACATCTGGATCCTGTATACATATACACAAACACACATGTACAGTGCAACATTACGTTCCATTAAAACAGGTATTTCTCATTTCTCTGCCTACCAAACATATGCCTGTTAGAGGAAACAAGGATTTTATCCATATTTCCTCAGTGATGCACACTTTAAATGTTTAAGCAATGGCTGCTGTGCTTCTGCATCTCGCTTAGAGGAAATTGAATCAGTTATATTAATCCAATTTCAGGAGCTTTCGACGTTGACAGAGAAGGATATTATTTCAGTTTCGAGCAGTCTACGCAATTCATTGCACAACACGGTGTAATGAAGTTAAAAATCACAGAATGTAGCTGTGCAATTTCCAGTTTGACATGTTTGAGCAGCTTTGGGAACTCTGCAGCCATGTGAGACACATTTAGTCCACATTCATATTACAGAAACTGTGATAGGAAACATAAAGAAAACAGTACTGAAAACAAAGGAAGGATCCCAAGATCACCTAATACGTTGTTTGAGACACTTGACATTGTTTTACCAATTAACATATTGATCATTTGTCTTTGAAATGGTAAAAAATTATAACAACATGTCTGTTACGACTAGCGAGAACCCAAACTGACGTCCGATAATTGCTCAATTTATGATATGAAACATGGCTATAAAAAAATCAGGCAAGTGCTTGCATTTTTAAAGCTGTAACTAGTGAATGTTGATGGACTCATCGCTTTATCTTAAACTACTTTTTAACAGGTCATTTTCCACCAATTCTAACAAAACGTTACAGTTATCAAAATCGAGTAAAAGTATACATAATAAAAGAGTTTTTATTACTTTACAGTTCTTCCTAAAAAGAAATGGATGTGCCAACTTACCCATGGTACAGTTGGTGGTAAAGTGGGGCTCGATGGTGGCCGTGTCATCCTGTGGAATCCGCTGATCATAGCTGGCTGACACCTGAAAAGGTGATCCTCCGTGGGTCCCCAGTGTAAGGTGGACCACTGCCCAGCTGCCAAGGAGAGAAAGCAGGAGTAGGGTCAGTGCAAGGAGCAGACACCATGGCTGACAGAAAAACCCACATCCGCTGCGGGGGTCGGGGGTTAGGGTAGCTCGGGCCTGTTCTGCCTGAGCTCCCAAAGTCTCAGAGGAGGGACTGTCCAGGGCTTCAGCAGAAGCTGACATGGGGACCTCCTCATTCCCTTCCATTTTGGGAGGGTCCCTCTCTTCCTTTGTCTGTTGATTCATGGCCCCCTTTGAGCTCACCCCAGACTCCCTGCGTCTACTGGTGGTTTAGCGATGGACAGGTGCGAGGTGGTGCCTCACTTGAGAGCTTATGTCTGGTGTAGAGTCAGACTAGAATTTCAAGCCACTATTATGGCAGGTGTGTGGTCGAGAGACAACAACACACTCAGGTCAGGTTCTTGTGTGTTAGCGAGCTGCAGTCCTGCGGTGAATGCTGTTCTCCCACAGCCAGCGTCTGGCTTTGTTTAGTTCAACTGTCCCTAATTTTATTAAGCAAATTGTGCTGATTTCTCTTTGGCTCCGAGCTCATCAACAATCTCTCTCTCTCTCTCTCACTCTCCCCTCCCCCTGCCTCTTGCCCATCCCTTCATTTTTACATACAAGTCATGACACCACATATGGTGAATGCACTGTAAACACCTTCTTCACTAATGAGAAATGTAAATGTATGAATGCCATACTTTGCACACACCACCAGCACATGGCAACAGTAGCTACCGATTACAGTATACACACAAACACGCTCAGCATATCTTGTGCTTAAATGCGAGCATCATCACACGCATCCCTGCATACTGCAACTTAACTTTGTTTTGTCATTTTAGATTTGCCACTGTTTTGCTGCTATACATACTATCATTCTGTTGCATCACTTTTTTCCAGTGTCCAGTTTGCAGACATTCACATCAGCAGCTCAGCTGTAAAACAGAACAAAAGACAGTTTGATGTTTCATCATGATGCTCCCACTCTGGCTCAACAGATGCTGTTTTCTTACTTAACCATGCCATGTTATTTGGCATTAATCTCATTTGACATACGATCAGGAAAATGACTAAAACATTGTGAATCAAATGGAAAATGGTAAAATGATTTGCTCACACAGAAATATCAGTACATAGCTTTTTAGCCACTTTTAGCTCCTTGTTTTGCTTTTATATTTACTGCATGGTTCAGTCTCAATGCTCTTATCAAACCTGATTCCCGCAGCGTTTTTATTGCAAGAAAAAGCTCAGATAAATCCACTATACTTTACCTGCACAGCACAAAATACAAGATAAAGAAAGACAAAGTGAGCATCTAGACTAGATATGGTAGAAAGTTAAACATCAAGCAGCTAAATCCCAATTGGTTTCTTAGGAGTTGGAGTTAAAAGGAGAGTGAAGATATTGGACCTAAATTCAAAAGCATTTTGTTCTGTGTCTGCTGGTGTCTCAGAAGACATGTTAGCAATAATTTTATAATGCAATAACTTGTCAGGGCCATGTGTCTGTGAGCTTGCAGCTTTGTTTCTGCCAACTAGTGGACAAACATCTAATAAAACCACTTTACAGGATATTTGGTGATCCAAAACCTATTTTCTTTTACTGTGCTTTTACTGGCATGTCAATCTTGTTACATCGACTCATTGAGACAAGTTTTTACAATTACGAGTATGACCACCAAAGTATAACAACTTGACAAAAGTTTAAAGGTTTCACCAGCCTCAGACAGTTGATAATGACTTTATTCTCACAGATCTTAGTAGGTCTCTCCCATACCATTATGACAAGTGTGCTGGGAATTAGGAAACTGTCTGTAACCATGTTTATTTTGGGGTTTATTGTGTGCTTTGTTTGGGTAGAACTGTGCTAGTAAGAGTACAGCAAACATAAACGCATGCACGCACACAAACCCAAGCACCCCCACTACACAAACAGGCTCTGAGCTTTTCTGATTTCCCCAATGTCTGTGCTCTGACTCTACAGGCTTTGCATTACTACCTTTGCCAGCTTCCCATCTTACATTCTTTCTTTTTTCCTCCTTTCACTGCTCTCACCTCTTTTCAATCCCTTTTCACCCAATCTCTCTCCCTTTCTCTCCACCCAGACACTGCTCAAAGTGGAGGGAAGGTGTTGACCAGATGGGAAGTGATGTTATAGCACCACAGTACACCGTTAGAGAACAGCTTTGTGGTGTGGGACCTGCTCCCTGCCATATCCCATAATAGAAAGGAAATGAAGCCCTAGATAAGAGCTGCCACTGTCTCCTTGATAACCTTGAAATGATTCGCCGACTGAGTCATACACATATGGTGTTGCTGAATTCCCAACCGCCTCGGCTGACGGACAAATTTAGAAATGGCCTTTCTGTTGAATGAGTACTTAGTATGATGATGATGGGATTGTAATTGTACCGGACTGTTTGCTCCTTGTGCATAAGATAAATGTAAGCATATGCACTGCAACACTACACACTCTTCAAGCTAGATAAATGGGGATGACAATGCTCTGTATTTAAATATGAAACACACAAGGAATAGGCTATAAATCTATCATTCGAAGGGAACAAAGAAACTGAATATGCTACATTTACTGACAATAAAATGGACTGAGCAGTATGGCATCCAATCAAAAGTGATCAGTGTAAACCTGATGTTTATCTAAGTGTAAAATTGTACTCAAGTCTTCTGTACTACTGAATTATTTTTTTTCTTATCTGGTCATGTCTGCACTGGCACTCACAGGACTTATTAACTGAGCAGTGGATCACAGCAGAGCTGCCAGAGCACATCACTCAAACACTTAAACCTAATTAGTAGTATACCATGCAAGGCACAGTGGTCCTAAATATAAATATATAAAATGAATGAAAAAGACTGCTCATGTGGGAATTAGATATACATGACTAATCCAAATGCAGATGCTAATAATTCTCATAATGGTCCTCTGTGTCCTAACGGCCTGTTGGTTATTTAAAATCACCTGACCTTTGTTCAGACTGCTGTTTGCTGAAAGCCTCTCCCATGATGAGAATGTGTTTTTTTTTTCACCATAGAAAAATAAAACAAAACAGCTCAGGCCAACTAATCTTTGCTGCCAATTGACAATTCATCATTTCATAATGCTATTCATTTATGCTCCCTTAGTGCTCTGCCCTGTCTAATGTAGCTCTTTTAATTTTCATTTGGGGTGTGTGTGTTTGTTTGTTAGTGACTATCTGGGATGCTTATGTCCTAACTACATCAAGGCTTATTTGTCTTGTGGGTTCTGGTTTGCATTAGCTGTGAGTCTCATCCATCAGGACAATACATGAAGTGTGTTGCATATTCAACAGTGTAGAATAAGGTATTGATTGTAAGGACATGTCCCTAACAATATCCAGCAACTACTAATGGCTCCTAGTAATAATGTTGATTAAAAAAAATATATATAACCACTATTGTGTGTCAGTGTCTAGTCAATGTATTTGGTACACAAACTGTTAACAGTCAGCCGCAAATTAGTGAGAGAAAAACAGAAACCAAAAGGTGGAACTGTAGTGAACCATGATGGAGTATTAGAGCCAAAAAATAATAATCTGAGATTTCAAGAAATATTATGAGAAAAGGTCATAATAGAATAAGTTGTTTGGTTCATATGTGCATGTTTTAGTATTTCTTAGCAGTCTACAGTTATTTAGAGTGTGACAGTTTGGACAGCAGTGTGAGTTGCACTTAGTCAGAGGTGCTCAATTTGAACATTTGTGTGGATTTGAGGTGAGATTTATGCCTGATCAGAAGTGTTTTCAATTGTGTCTGTGAGAGCAGCAGAACAGTACAGTCCCAAATGGATTTCTGTGTCAGTCAGATGGTCTGAAGGGATATTACCACATCAGCAGAGCAATAACACAGGCAAATGCACAGAGAAGTAGGCATATAGGGCAGGTAGATTTTTAATTTGAAATATTATGACTTCATTCATATTAAATTGCTACGTTATTCTCGTATTATTAGCCTACAAACTTTATTCTCTCAAAATATTACAACTTCGTTCTTCAAATGTCAGAGAACACAGATATGTGGGATAGATTTTGACATAAGCAGAAAACTTTCTGATGTGCCACATGCACATTTAAAGCTCTATATTGTAGTTCCATGACTCCTGTATGTTAACTTGGCATGATTCAAAGTTATTTTTTTATTATACTGGCCCTTCATGCAGGCCCTCATTTCAGCTGGTCTGAAACAAGCTGTACATGCTCCTGTATCTTTAAGCCCGCCCCTAAAAGCCAACTGTCTTCTGACTGGTCAAGACCCTGAAGTGGGTTTTCCAGCCCCCCAAAAAGAAACCGTATCCAATCTTGTTTGTCGTTTTCTTCTTTAGGAAAACCAAATAAGCTTCATTTTCATTTACAACCGACCTGCACTTTTTGGCAACATTTTGAAGAACTTCAACAGACTGGCGATCCTTCTGTGCTATGCAGTATAGACAGACTGAACATAACAGTTACCAGGAGGATGGGGCTGAGGGCAAATGACCATATACTATAGAAAAGTAGAAAGAACTGGATTGGATTGGATTTCTTTTCAGTATGTTTACCTCATTATTTGAAGCTTTGGCAACATTTAACATGAACATCCAACATTGTAACGTTATAGGTATGACAGAAAATAGGGAAAAACATAACAGGTCACCATTAAAGAAGTTACTTCCCCATACAAAAGACACAAAAGAGGAGGGAAGACTAATCATGGTACATGTGTGTTGACTCAGTAGGGATGTTGTTAAATGAGAAAAGTTGATCTACAGGAGAAAACATATTTAAAAGCAACATAATGCCTGAGAGCCTTACTGCATTATATTCTATTACATTTTTATGTTTGGATTAGCCACTGGTCGCATGAATTTTGTGTTTCCCTTTTCATAATTAAAGATATTTTCACTATAAAATTATGCACAAAAGTAAGAAATTGTTACAGAAAAAAATAAACCAAATGCAGGAAATTAAATGTTTAACGCTCACATTAT